TTCAGCACAGCTAAAGTAAAATTACCCAGTGACTGCAGTTGAACTGTTTCTTGTAGCCACTGTTTTACGTAACCTCAGACACATCATCTTTTAAACCCATCTCTTTGATATATTGTACTCTCTGCTTTACAGTCTCAAGATAATTGAAATACTTGAATGTTATGGAATATGCAGGGACTGATTCTGGTGTTTGGAATAAAATTTCTATCATAAATTTTGCAGGAATATCTTTCAAAAGTTAATTTGAAAAAAACAGCCACCCATTTCTAAAGGCTGACTGCAACAGAAAAGCTGATTTCTGTTGAAGGCTGCTTAGAGCCCTTTCTGTATCGACCCCAGAGCCTGGGAAAAGACTGAAGGATCCAAGTCCCACCTCCTGTGTCTACATGGGAGTTGCAGAATCCACATAGAAACTGGGTTCTGATACTGGCATGGTTTGCCAATAATTTTAGCCTTGCTGTTTGAGATTTGTTGCTCTGGTCAAACAGACAGATCAGTCCAGATCTGTGCTATAGTGTGTCTCTCCTCTTCAATGTGACATTGAATTTAATTTTCTTTGAGGAAAAAAAGGGAAGTCAGGGTCTCATGGTCTCAGTCTTCCCCCCTGCCCACAGTGAGGGCAGCCTGTTTGACTGCCAGGTCCATCTGGTTTTTGAGCAATAGAGGAAAAATTTCACATAGAAATAACTTTTTGCTTCTTGTTTCCACTTGAAGTACACCTAATCTGTGCAACCCCAGAACAGATTTCCAGGATTCTTCAGAATATCAACAAGAACCAGATTTGCTCCACTTGTTCTTCTTTAACTCAAAGTGATAGTTTCATTTATGTATCTCAAAGAGGCTGATGTTACTGCATCAGTGTTATCTCAGTGTTTGTACAGACAAGGGATGTCAAAGGCAGCAATATTGCTAAAGTCAATTATAGCACCTATCCATTCCTCACACCCAGAGGCTGGTTCTTATCTCACTTGTATTAACATGTATGACAGTGACCTAGAAAACAGTCCTGGAGCAATTATAATGTCGCAGCAACTTCCAAAAACAGGCAGTGCTTTTGGTAATTGTTAATGCTTCACCTTAAAAAGAGGATAATTGGGATTCTTGCTCCCATCTCTCTGCTTCAGTGTATTCTCCTCATTCTAATTTCACTGTTCAATTTATATCTGTTTGTTCTTGGCCAGCATTGTCATACATCTTAAATAATTAATTTCCCTGATGATATCTTTACCAATAGCCTTCATATTCCTGCCTCATTGTTATGATACACATTGATCTCTCTGTGAGTGACAAGAACTTGATCCTATTCCAAACAGGGACTCACCCATACCTGTGGGATGCCGTCAGTACTGTGCTGTCTCCAGAATCTCTGTCTTTAATGGTGTACTGGGAAGTGCTTTTGTCTTTTTCTCAGCCTTGTCATGGTGGGAAATGTTGGGTGGAAGTGGCTGCACTTTGTCTACCTGTGTCTTTGCACAGTCCTCCACTGACAGCACAGATGTGACGTGCTGTCACATCTCTGTTCCTCTGCTACTCTCACCCTGCTGTCCAGGCCTTGTAGCTCTTCTCTCCTCCTTCCCAGGTAGCTCTTACACCTCCCAGTGCTTCTCTAACTGTTACCAGAGGCTGATGTTGGGTTGGGCCAAGGCCTTCTCCTGCTGTGGGATGATGTGGGAAGGAATGGACAGGGGAGGATCCAAGAGAAAGAGGCTGCAGAGCATTTCCATCCCTCTGCTGCCATCTGGGAGAGGCTGGGAGTGCCAGTGCTGCCAGGGTTCAGCAGCTACAGGGAAGACAAAGCTGAGCTACTGGCACTGCCTCCTCTCACACAAGTCTGCAGTTTGTCACTGAGGCTGCTCCCTCATTTGCTCATTCCTGCCTACCACAAGCCTCAAATTCCTACTACATTTCCTGTAATTTCTGCCACTCTGTGATATTCCTCCCCTCAGCTGATGCTGCCTGCTGATACACTCGAGCACACCAGCGCAGTTTGTCAGCTCTTTGTTGCAGAGCCTTCCTGTATACAACTACTAAAATTCACACCCAGTCCTTGAAGAATTCTTGTACTATTCACTTTTTTTTGATGAGTCCTCTTTCAACACAGTCTCTCAACTGGATTTAATAGTATTAGTCTGGTGCAAAGTGACAGCCAGGAAAAATAAACCTGTCCCTTCAATTTTAATGAAGGGCTCAGCCATCTGATCAGGTTGTTGCAGTTACTGCATGTCAGTGGAGCCATTGAGACATGGGTGCTTTTAGTCTAGCCATTTGCAGAGTAGTGCAGGACCAATTAATTTTCTTTAAACTTATTTTTAGGCTAAAATTGAAAAGAGTAAACTTGGGAAAAAAAGAACTAAGCAGAAGACTATATTACAGGCCAGTTACCATGGCTGTGCTCTTGTAGAGTCTTATGGCAACTTTAGTGTGTGTCTGAGGATGTCATTAAAAGTGGAGGAACCCACTTCTGTGATATTCTGAGGAATAATTGTGCTTTTGGCTCATGTTCTCATCAGAACAAGTTCTACTGTAAGTCAGCATGGGTTCCACTTTAGCCATTGCCCTTACTGATATCCATTAGCCCTTTATATATACTTGTTTCTAGGCAAGGATCATTAAATATGAGTTATGGAGCGCCTGGCATCATACCTGCTGCTGAATTATAAATTAGTGCTTTTACAGAGTCAGTTAATTTTTTTTTATCTTATGTGTGAATGATTTAATGTATATGGACACACAGAGAGGTAGTCCATTAACATGGCATGAGGGTATCCCTCAGCTGGAAAGGTCTGGATAGTTGCTAATCTCCATGGTCTGTATTCCTCCTCTAGAAAAGACTGGGTTTTCAGTTTCCAAAAAGCACCTGTATGCAACAATTTGCTTTAAAAATAAACACTTCATATATCCTAGATGGCATCTGCTTTAACATTATTCAGATTATCTCCTTTCCACACATACTGTGAAACAACATGCATTGTCTTTTTAATCATAGTTTTTGTCAGTGGCACAATTTAGTATGACATTTTCTAAAATGAATCCAAACAAGCCCCACTTGAATTGTTATCTGTACAGATGTAATCACTGTATTGGGTTTACCTCACTGTATTCCCCAAACACTCAGTTCTGCACAGACCTGTCCTGCCAGTTAAACTTCCTTCATTTGACTTCTGTTTGTGCTGGGAGTAACTTTTTTTTTGGATGTAACTTTACATATCCACCTTGTCACTTGTCCAATGACACATCAGTTCCTCTGTTAACAGTAAACAACCAAATGCTTTGCTAACTTTTAGTGACACACATCCATCTTTCTGCCTGTGCTCTCTGGGAAACGTGTTGAGTCTCAAGATTTCAATCAAGCTGAGTGCTGACATATGGGATTGAGTATGAGATGGAACTAAGGACTAAAGGATTGATTCCTGTTTCTCAGTCAGCTAATACAGTATCTGTGATTTCAGTGGCACTGAGGCAGAGACTCACCAGCTGGAGGAGAGAGCCAGGCTCAGGTATCAGAAGCAACATTGACAGTATCAGAAAAATTGCCTCAAAATTGTTAAGAGGCTTTCAGAAGCAAAAATACCACTTTCAGAGCCTGATCCTAAATCTACTGATACAAGTTGAAGTTTTCACTTTTTGCTTCTAGTGTCTGAGTTGTAAGCCATTACATCCTGAGTGGCTCTTTCCTTAAAATTCTCTGCATATCAACACCAGAACTTTTCCCATACTGAAAATTAAGCCTTAGAGACCTTCATGCTACTCATGTGCACATTTAGGATTTCTCCCATCCCTCTCTCAGTTTTATACATCACTCAAGAAACATTTGCAAACTAGAAACTGAAAAAAATAAGTTCCTAAAACACTGTTTCAGAGGCTGAGCTAACTTGTGTTTCTGCTGCAGACTGTAATGTCTAAGCATTTTGATAGTAAATATTATGGGAATACAATTGTTGACTGTGCTCTTTTCTGTCCTGGCAGCAGACACACGTAGCTTTGATTGCTTAGTCTGAAGGCCTTCCTACCTCTAGTGCAAAGTCAGGCTTTCTAAAAGCTCTCCTGAAAGGACAACAAACACTAAGTTGCAGTCAAATATTTGGGTGATGTCCACTAAACCCTCGGGGGAATTGTCTGCAATCATTGTATTACTGAACACGAAAGGATAAAGCATAAAGCAATTCCAGTTTTTCTGAGAATCCCTTTTCCACTTTCTTTCACCGGAGATTCCCAGAATCTGGTTTGCACATTGATTAGACAAGAACTGTGTTCATCTTCCTGCAGCAGTATGTGCAAGTAAAATGTCCCTGAGGATGCTAAACTCTTTTTACAAGTATTTCAATAAAATAGTATGTCTTATAAAACTGGAATGTCACCATTCTTGCAGAGGTTACTTTTAGTGCATTTCTGCGAACGTAGAAAAACAAGTCGTTTTTAGTTCAGCTCAGTCTGCTGCACTGGTTTTGTGCTGTCAGTGCCTTTGTAGTGTTTGTGTACTGCTTGCTCTGTGGCAGCCTAAAGGTTTTCGAGCAGAGCCGGCACACAAGGCAGGAGAGCAATGGATTTAACAGTATTTAACTGTAAATCAGCAGGGCTTTCCATCTACCGTACATAAACCCACTCCCTGATTTGAATAATTTGCCCGAGCTAAATAATAATAAGACTAACAATATACCTTCAGTAGGGAAGATCAGGCAATAAAAATACCCCCAGTTTCAATCAGGAATGCAAATTACAGATGCCCCAAAGATGCTAGAATGTAAAGAAAAAAACCCCCACCGCTGGAACTGATTAAAATTAGTGTCAGTCATTGATTTCCGGAACACACAAAGAGACGCTGAGTATAAATGTGTTACTTACAAGTGCTGAGGATTTTAGGGAATGAAAATGGAGACCAGGAGCTGGAGACTGCCTGCCATGCCAGCAGTGTTGATTTGGAAGCGATGGACACAAATAAACGTTCAGCAAAGCTTAAAAAGCTGCAATGCAAGGCTAGCCAAAAGTGTCCATGTCCTTACCGTGCTGGGGCTGGCAGGCAATCCGTGTCTGGGAGCCTTCAGTCCCTCTAGTCAGGCTCCGGGGATTTTGTTTGCAAGAAAGATTGTCCTTTAAGTGATGAGTGCAGGAAAACAGAGAAATAAAGAGAAATGAGCAAATTGTACAAGGCAAATAGCTGCAGGTCTTTAGCATGCTCCCTGCGTTTTCCTGAGCTGCATCTGCAGTAGAGAAAATATCCCAAAAATAGCTCAGGCTGCCAATGACTTGCTGAAACCTGAGAAAGAATTGCTGAATTTAAAGATCTGGGTTGCTGTGGGTGTATGATTAAAGTGAGAAATTGCTGGCAGGAAGAACCTAGGATGAAACCACATGCTTGAGGAGTAACTTGTGAGTTCACCGGTATCAGAGCATGAGCTGACCTCTGATTTCCCCCTCCTCCACCCAGTGCAAGTTAACCCTTAAGAGTTCAGCATGGAATAAAGTTCTGCAATAGCAGATGGAAGAGGAAATATGATTTAAAAACAAAATTCTTTCAACTGTAGTATCTGTGATGCTGTGACAATATTTTATAGCAGTGCCCTGTTTCCTAAATTTCAGAGCTGTCAGGCAAGCTGACATTTTGCAGAATTTTAACTTCTGGGAAGCTCAGTCTTGTGTAGGGTATATGCTAAATACCCCCTTTAAGCTGTCTGTGGTCCCACAGAATGAAAAGGATTTCAGGTGAAGTTTTGAGGCAGGAAGGATGGAAGGAAGGAAGGCACAACATTTTAGGAACTTTTCTGCAAACACTGACTTATGGACAAAATATCAAGAATTTTTTGGCACAGCCTTGGAGGAGACCCTGGAATCTCTCTACTGTGCCCAGAACAAACTACAGCAGCTTAAAGACTGCTGCAGGTTATTCTGGTCTGTGAGTGTTCCCTGTGGATCCCATGTGCTTACACAGACCACTAGAGCAGAGTGTGCTTTAGCCTCAGCCCCCAGCTTGTTCCCCAGCACTTTTTAATGTTACTTCCCTGATTTAGAAGAGAACAAGAAGCAGTTGGCACAATTCTGGGTACATTGGCTTGACATCAGTTAAGTTTCCCATATAGCACCAAAAGTAATCATCAGTAACCTACTTAGTCTGGTGTTGGAGCTGCCAGAGCATGGACTGGAACTGCTCCCCAGTTTTCTTTGAACTGACACTGAAAAGGGAAAAGGCTTCAGTGCTGCAACTGGGTTAGATTCAGGCCACTTGGGACTGGATTATGAGAAGCTGCTGCTTTGGAAAGCAATTGTGCATCTGAGGAAAGAGCTGAGTATTGCCATTACTTCAGAATGTGCCTTTGGTTTAACATCAGTTTTCTGATATGTGCCAAGGAATAATGGCATCACAGGGAGAACAAAATGTCTGATGTGCTTCAACCATAGTGGTGGGTGATCACTTCATCATCCTGGTAGGACTGGCCACTTGACTTGATGAAGTTCTATAAGAGTGTCTGAGCATTTTATCTTGAAGATGCTGTGAGTTTGTGAATGTAGGTGCTTTGGAGGAAAAGGCCCATTATTGGGTCTTTTGGTCTATTTACAGTTTGAACTGGTCGGATCATAAATGTTTCTCTAAGAGCTGGAAGAGCAGACAATCCCTGAAGTAGGCTGGTCATTTAATTAGTATTTATACCCCAGCAGGCTCTTTCTGAAGTACTTCTGCTGACCAAGAGGAAATGTAGGATATTAGAAATTAGGAACTGAATAATTATGACTCACGTTGCAGCGTTCACTCTCAGATAGCGGGCAGGAAGCACTTACACACATCTAGTGTTGGCATATAAATATATATCATAAATTTCATGGTGAGCTCAGGAAGTCTGATTACTAATCTCTAAAGATTCCTAATGCAAACCCCTGTTCCTGTCTTTGAAGCAGCAAGTGGTAACACAAAAGACTTTGTAGGCACCTTTCTCATAAGTTAAAACCTAAACCCAGTATTAATGACAACTAGTGGGTAATTCATCATGTGTGGTGCACTGCTAGTGAAATATCAGCATAAGACCATCTGTAGTGTCTGTGTGTTAGCAGATGAACTATGCCCTAAAAAATGAGGTTTTTTTCCCCTCACAAATGAGGTAATTAATTCAAACACTTTTTGTCTCTCCGTGTTATGAAGAGGTTGCTAATGCAAGGCAATAAAGCAGCGCTACATCTCCAACAATTGGAAACTTAGTATTCAGAACCATTTTCTCTTTGTTCTATTCTCTCATTGTTGAATTTCATTAGTACTGAGGGTCTAGAGCATAAATTACATATATACACGATAATGCATACTTTTGTATTTTTTAAACTTAAATATAGCAGAGGGCAAAAGTGAAAAGAAAAGAGCATGACAATTGTGAGCAGAGAACAGATGGGTGGTTTGGCATGGAAACAAAGGCATTAGCATACATTCATCGTTCTTATGGTGCCTATCAAACAGATGTATGGAGAGAGTACATCTTCCACTAAGCATGATGCTTTATGTCATGATAGCTCTAAATTAGCTAACACGCTCATGAGAATTGAATGTTTCAATGCTCGTGTTCTTTTCTTCGACTGAGTCATTTCTTTAATATAATATGACTTGAGTTTTGCCTGAGCACCCAGTGTAAGCTGAAGAGTGTCTTTTTCCTGTGATTTCCCTGAACAGAAGTGGAGAAATACCTGAAACTAGCGCTGTCCTACCAGGACTGACTTAGCTGTGAGCCTGTCGTGAGTCTGCTGTGATCTATAAATCTTCTGTCTGTCTGCACATCAGGATGTGGATTTGAGCATTCCATAATGTGTGAGAGTCTTGCCTTGTAGTGTTGGTTGATCTGGAGAAACAAAGTCCTATTTCTACCAGTCACCAGACTGGTATGGGTGTAAATGAGAACTCCATTACAAGAACTTGTTGAGCAAAATAAACTGGGAAATGGAGGTGAATGTTTTACACTCTTCACTGGGCAGGATGTCACCAGTTGTTTTCCTCATGAGATGGTCTCTTTGGAGCATGAACTTCAAAATTATGTCTGGCACATGTAAATCACTGAAGTAGGAAGACTTCCAGGGGACTGACAGATAATTATATTTATATGACAATGACAGAGCTGGTACAAAATGACGCTTTGCGTTGTCCAAAGCTGTAACCATGGCTTGAAATAAGGCCTCAAATGCCAGCCCTGGTAAAATCAGTGGGAAAAGAAAAAGCACTGTACCTGACACTGCAGTATGAAAACTTTAAGGATTAATTTATCTGAAGTAATATGGGATTAAAAAAAAAGACCAGGGAATATCATAAGTGTTAGTGCCCTGAAGACTGTGTCTATCCAAGTTGTTTGAACAGTAAGGGTCCAGGTTTGGTAGGACAGGGCAGCCTGAGGTTAATGACCTTGATTACTGCAATATGCTTTTTCCACATTTCAGTAGCTACACCTGTTTCACTAGGAAAAATGTGCAAAATGTTTCATTTTAAGACAGGAACCTGAAAAGTAAGGTCTCTTCCTGTAGCTGGAAACTGATTCATAGGGTCTTGCTAGAATGTATTTCTCTCATTTCAGCTAAGGTTAATTAGACACAGTCAATTGCTGTTATCTGCCAGAATCTCTTCACTCATTTTTTCTCTTCTACTTTTTACCTTTCTGCTCTACTGTCTGGGACATTCTCCTTTGTGTTTAAAACCCAATTTTATAATAGTTTCTCTTGCCAAGTGCATTCTGATGAGGCTCATCCCACTCTATTCCACTCCCATTCTGTTGCCCTGTATTTTGGTTGGAGACCTGTTGTTGGAATGGATGAATCTCATTCTGTATAAAAACAGGAAAGGTGCCAGTATAATAGAAACTGTTTGGAAAATTGATTTTCTTCTCTACAAAGGACTTGACTGGAAGATTTTCCTTATAAAGATTCTGAAGCAATCAGTGAAAGAGGAAAAAAAAAAACAAACCCAAAACAAAATCTGAGGAAAGCCACAACCCTTTCTCCCTCTAGGCATTGAGCTTCTCATCAGTTGTCATTGCAAATCTCCACAAATGCTTTTGGCACCATTTCAAAAATTCTAAGTCTGTGCTATGCTTTGTTTGATTAATGACTAGTTCCAGAGATTTCCTCTGGTGATCCTCACATGAGACATAAAGAATTATCAATGGCCTCAGCAATGTCTGGGAGCAGAGTTTGTCAAGGATATAGTTTGCTTCCCCGAGTTTATAATGAAACATCACATTGTGTCCCTTGCCCTAAGGTATTCATTTGATACATTCTGCATCTGCTTGGCCCAAGCACTGCAGGTTTGTCTTAGGAAGGTAAGAGAATATAGTCAGGAGTTGATAGTAACAACCATCAAATCCATGCTTATTCCCATGTTATGAAATGCTCAATTTGGCCTTACTGTATTTGTTCAGTTTTATATGTACAACAGCATAAACTAGAGTACTCCAAAGCAACTGACTCCTGAATACTCACAACTTCATTACCAAAAGTTTTATTCCAAATGTTAAAGAAAATAGTGGGTAAAATGGTCCTGGTTCTACTCCATTACACAGCTGTAAATCCAAGTAATTCTTTCTAAACTTACACATTTCAGATGTGCATAGAAGTTGAGTTAGACAGTTGGTACATCCTTTCTTGGGATGAGCTTCCCAGTGAGGAAAAGGAAAGATGCTTTGTCTCAGAGATGTGATTAGCCCAGTCTCTAAATGCAGGGACTTCTGTGACAGGAGAGCTTTACAGTTGAACTTGGTTTTACTCTTGAGTGTCCAAGTCAGGACAGGTTCCATTAGAAGTCAGCTGCAGCCTGAAGCCCATCAGTGTCATTCTGTTTGATATGTTGACTGTGGGGAAAATGGGTTATTGCAGCTGCTGCAGTGCCTGTCCCTTCCCTCCCCAGAGTTATCTGTGTCTGGGCACTGATTCTCTTCTACCATGGCTTAGAGCTCCCTCTTCTTTAAACACACATCTCAGATCTCTGCTGCCTGTGGTCAGACTATCTAAATATCCTGGGAAAGTATGCATAGAAAAACAGTGTGACAGTGGGCCTTTGAGGTAGAGTAGAGATTTTATAATAATAAAGAAGAAGAAGAAAAGAAAAAAAAAAAAAGGCAAGCCAAACAAAGAAGAATAAAACACAATATTTGAAAATGAGGTTTCGTGGGGTTTGCCATCATTCTAAAAATTCCCTTCTCCTCAGAGAGTCCTTGCTACCTTTTCTGTCCCT